GCCTGTCCTGGGCGTCCTGCGGCCTCCTGGAGCTCTCTGGGGCCTCCCCCTCCTCCTGCCTGCTCCCTCATGCACATCATCCGCCTCCTCCTTTTCCCTTCCATCTCCTCCTCCTCCTCCTCCTCCTCCTCCTCCTCCACCTCCTCTTCATCCCGAACGGCATCTCGGAGCCTAGAATTGCGAGGATGTCTCCAGCGTAACGGGCTGGACCACCTCGCGCGCGGCATCTCGGACCCCAGAGTTGCGACGATGTCTCGGGCGAAATGTGCTGCGAGGAAGTCTCAGGCGAAACGGGCCGGACCACCTCGAGCGCGGCGTCTGAGAGCTCCGAGTTGCGGGGGCCTCCTGGTGCCTCCTGGTGCCTCCTGGGGACCTCCGAAACGGGCCGGACAATCTTTCGCACACGTTTTGACAAGTCCACATCGCACTCGCTTCCCGTTAGGTCCTCTCCTGCAACTCTCTTCCTTCTCCCTCCTCCTCCTCCTCCTCCTCCTCCTCCTCCTCCTCCTCCTCCTCCCCCTCCTCCTCCTGCTCCTCCTCCTCCTCCTCCTCCTCCTCCTCCTCCTCCTCCTCCCCTCCTCCTCCTCCTCCTCCTCCTCCTCCTCCTCCTCCTCCTCCTCCTCCCCCTCCTTCTCCTCCATCTCCGTCCTTTATCCGCCACCGTGCCTTCTGGCACGGAGTGGGTGTGTCCTCAGGTCCCTTGTTGTAGTTCCGAGTCCTCCGAAGTAAGGATTCTAAGGGGCCGGACCCCAAGCTGAATCTCTCGAGGGCCAGGTCCTCTCGTCGCATGACTTTCTCGGGCCCTGGAGGGTCCCCAGACGGACCAAAAGGGCCCCAACAGGCCCCCAGACGGTCCGAGAGGGTCCCGAATCGTCGAACGATCGGTCAAAGACACGATGGCCTCCAAGACGACACAGGAGGCCTCGAAGACGCCCCAAGAGACCTCCAAGAGGTCTCCCAAGAAGGCCCAAACAGGCAAAATCCGTGTGCTGTCTTACGTGTTTGAAGGATTTGGGTGTTATCGCCTTTTCGTCCAAGACGGCCCAAGAGGCTCCCAAGACGGCTCCAACAGCGGTCCCAGACGGGGGACCCGAACAAACATTCGGAGCCCTCGGCCCCGAGAGGCCCCTAGGAGGCCCCAGGAGGCTCACAAGAGGCTCACAAGAGGCCCCCAGAGGCCACTAAGGGGCCCACAGGAAGCCCCAAGAGGCCTCCAAGAGGCTCCCGAGAGGCCCCCAAGATGCCCCAAAATTGCCCCCCAGGGGCCCCCGAGAGCGCTCCGAAGAGACCCCGAAAGCATCAAAGGGTCTCTGACCCACAATCCAAAAACGGTGGCGGGAGTGGCCGAAGACCATACCTGGGCCGACAGGGGAACGGAAAGAGCGCTGCAGGCACTGGCCCGAGATGGCTAATGGCACCCTTCACTCTTGGGAGTCTTGGGGTGAAGAGTATGTTACATCGCCGATATCCGTCGGGAGCCCTGGTGTTCAGAAACATTTACGTTGCCGCTCGCTCTTGGGAGCCTTGGTGTGACGAGCTTTTTACGAAACCGCGCTCTGGGGAGCCTTGGGGTCAAGAGCTTGTTACGTCACCGCTCGCCGATGGGAGCCATGGTGTTCTTGAGCGTCTCTTGGACCTCGTCGGGGTCTTCTTGAGACCCTTTTGGAACCCTTTGAGAGCCCGTTTGGGGCAATGTTGGGCCGTCTTGGGGCCCTTTTGGGCCGTCTTGGAGCGTCCTGGAAGCCTTCGGCCGTCTTGGGGCTCTCTTGGGAGCCTCTTGGGGCCCTCTTGGGAACCTCTTTAGGCCCTCTTGGGACTCTCTTGGGACCGTCTTGGGGCCCTCTTGGGCCGTCTTAAGGCCCTTTTGGGCAATTTTGGGCCCCTCCAAGGCCGTCTGGGGGCCCTCGTGGACCCTTCCTCTGGGGAGCCTCTGGGGCCGTCTTGGGGCGATCTTTGGGGCCTCTTGGGCCGTTTTGGACCGTTCTTGGCCCGAAAAGGCACGAACCCCGAAAACCTGCAAAAACCATTTGACAATCATTGTTGCTTGCCCCTGGGGGCCCTCTCGGGGGCCCTCTTGAGGGCCTCTGGAGCCATTTGGGGCCTCTCGTGGACCGTCTGGAGGCCATCTGAGGCTCTCTTGAAACTGTCTTGGGGCCCTCTGGGGCCGTTTCGGGGCCCTCTTGGGCCGTCTTGGGGCCCTCTGGCCGATCCACTCGAAAAAATAGTACGAAACGGGCCATGGAAGAGGGCCCCAAGACCGCCCAAGAGGCCTCCAACGCCCAAGATGACCTTCAAGACGACCCTGAAGCGCCCCGCCCAGAGTTGCGAGGATGTCCCAGGTCGCACCTGGTCGACGAGTAAGCTGTCGGGTCGGCACTGTGAGAGGCTCCACCGCCATGCTGTGAACTCAGAAGCAACTTTAAGAGGAAGCGGGGGAGGGCGCGGAAACGGGGGGGCATGTCGTGATGGTTCCCTCGGGGATGATATCGAGAGGTACGCGGCGCACGTCTCAAAAGAAGAATCGGAAACGGCGCGGCAGCCCAACGGCGAAGCTAATCGCCGCCATCGCCAACGGCTGCCTCTTCGACGGGACAACGAGCCGAAGCGCCGCCTACGCCACGCGCCATGCGCGCGTGCTCACGTGGATGCGCAGTGCCACGGCCGCGTCGGCGATCGCCTGCGCGCGCCACTTCGACACCCCCCCGTGATAGGGGGGTTGGGGGGAGAAGCCCTAAACCCTAAAAGGCTTCACTCTGGGTGGTCTGGGGCGGGAGTGCGACTAACCGTGGCGCGCGCGGCTTGGGCAGCGATCCCCCCCAACAACCTTGATGTGGAGGGATCGCAGCCAGCGCGCGCTTGCGCCAATGCGGGGGAGGGCGGAAGGCAGTGCGCGCATGACGGGTGCTGAGGCGGCAGAAACGACGACGGCGGGGACGGGGAGGCGGAGGCAGAGGCGCAGCAGCGGGAGGCGGGAGGCGGGAGGAGGGAGGAGGGAAGAGGAACCAGGCGGGAAGTGGGAAGAGGGAAGCGGGAGAAGGAATGAGAGAGGTTGTGATTGGAGCTCCTGTGTTACGAAACGTCTCAGGCAGAATGGGCCAGACCATCTCGCGCGCAACATCTTCGAGCCTCGCATTGCAAGGATGGCTCAATCGAAACGGGTCCCCAAGAGGCCCAAGGAAGCCCCCAAGAGGCCTCCAAGAGGCCCCCGGAACATTCCCAGGAGTCTCAAATAATGGCCCAAGAACCTCCCTGCTCCTCCCGCTCCCCGTCCTCCTCTTCCTCCCCCGCAGGTTCCCCGAAAGGCTTCCACAGCGGTGGGCGGAACGCATGGTCCAATGGCGTGGCCAAACGTTGTCCACACATACAGAGGCGTATCCTAGCAGGCGGGGGGCGGCGGTGATTCACCGCGGGCGCGTGTTCGATCACTAACGCCTCCCTGCCGCACCCCCAGGCGTGTCGATGGGGCGGGCCGAGCGTGTCGCGCGAGAGGTCCCCACCGCGCAGAGTCCGAAAGTTTGGAATGTGCAGCAGTTCCCAGGATGGCGGGCGGGTGGCGTTCAACATGTGAGGATGTGGCTCTCGCCACAGCGCCGCGCACATGTCGTTTCGTAACAGCTGTAAAGATGGAGGGAGGAGGGAGGAGGGAGGAGGGAGGAGGGATGAGGATAGGAGGAGAGGGAGGAGGGAGGAGGGAGTAGTGAGAGGGAGGAGTGATGGAGGTAGGAGGGAGGAGGGAGAGGAGGGGGAGGGAGGGGAGGGAGGAGGGGGAGGGAGAGGAGGGAGGAGGAGGAGGGAGGAGGGAGGATGGATAGGGAGGAGGGAGGAGGGAGAGGGAGAGGGAAGGAGGGAGGAGGGAGAGGGGGAGGAGGAAGGAGGGGGGAGGTTGAGGGGGGGAGGGAGGGGGAGGAGGGATGGAGGGAGGAGGGAGGAGGGATGAGGGAGGAGGATCGATCGGATCGGATCGGCCTTCCACGGAAGCGAGTGCACGACTCATTCGACAGCCAGTGGGGGTGCGAAGACACTGATGACATCACAGCCCAAAGGGAGGAGGAGGAGGGGAGGGAGGAGGGAAGGAGGGAGGAGGGAGGAGGGAAGGAAAGGGATGAGGGAGGATGGAGGAGGGAGGGAGGAGGGATGGAGGGAGGGATGGAGGGAGGGAGTAGGGAGGGAGGAGGGAGGGAGGGAGGGAGGAGGAGGAGGAGGAGGGATAGATGGGTGGATGAGGAGGAGGGATCGATGGGAGGAGGAGGAGGCCTAGCCCGAAGCTGCAGGCAGAATGAGGGAGAGCGCAGGAGCCCCGAGGCCCCCAGCAGGCAGACCCCGCATCGCGAGCACGCGCGGAGGCCCCGAGCACGGGGACCCCCCACAGAAGCAGCAGCCGCGCCCGAGGGCCAGCGGGCGTGCGCCTAACGGTGGGGCCGGGTGGTTCACGCCCACGGCCGCGTGCCGATTTGCTCCGCCTCCCTGCTCTCTCCGGCTCCCTCCTCCTTGCCCTCCTCGCCCCCTTCCTCCCCTCCCCTCAGCGTTCACTTTTTGTGTGTTCGTCTCGCAGCCCCAGTGCATGCTCACATTTTCCTTGCGCCCGAGATTCAGGAGGCTGTGGCCTCACGGGGTCTTTCTCAGGCCCAGGCGCCTGTCCTCAGCGGCGGTTCTTTGGTTCGTTCGCTCGTTGCTTCCTCCCTCGCCGGGGCCAGTGCTCGTCTGTCGAGCCCCGCCCGAACGCCCCTCGGGAGAGCGGCCGCCGCACCCTTGGGCGGTGGGCGGTCGCCAACGGCGGCTGCTCGAACGCCGATGCTCGGGACAGCAGTTGCGCCCTGACTGTTCTTGCACCGCGCTTCCTCGGGGAGGCGATGCTGGTGGCCAGAAGTTGCGTCAACGGATGCGTTTGTTCGGTGGAGGCTATTGGCACAAATAGTTTGATCCGGCTCGTGCGAACGCTAACACATGGAACGTCGAGGATCGAGCACAGAGCGTCGAGGCTCCCCCTGCGTGCCGCAGAGGCCCTCAGCATGCAGAGCCTCGTTCCCATCACGGAGTACAGCCTCGTCCAGCCCACCCGGCAGTGCCCGCCGTTAGCCTCGAGACCAGCGGCGGCGGCGGCGGCGGCGATTGCGACGACGACGACGACGACGACGACGACGACGACGACGACGACGACGACGACGACGACGACGACGACGACGACGACCCCAGACCTCCCCCTGGGCGCCCGCGTCCCAGCAGGATTTCGAGGTGGACCTGGCTGTGGCGACGAGGGGCCAGAAGCTTGCGGAAGCCCCAGAATCCTTTCGAAAACCTTCGAAGCGCCTCGTCCCAGGATGGTCAAAAACATTCAAAAACCTTCATCTCGGGAGTCCAACTGCCATTCTGGAGGATGAGGCTTCCAGAATAGAGGTCGATACTCCAACTCGCAGGCTTTCGATGCTCTGGGCCGCGTCCTAGCTGATGAGTGATGGCGAGCGAGTCGGCCATCTCTACTCTTCTCTTCTTGCGTGGCTTTTCTCGCTCTCTCTTCCCCGTGCCGACTTCAACTCTGCGGCCGCATGACCGGCCGACCAGCTGAGGAGTGAGAGGAAGTGGGAGGGGAGAAGGATGCAGATGAGGTTCTTCCTCCCTTCTTTCTCCTCCACCCAAGCCACCAAACACCACCCCATAACGATTCACTCATTCCTCCTGCCTCCCCCTCCTCCTCCTCCTCCTCCTCCTCTTCCTCCCCCCTTCCTCTCCTTCCTCCTCCCCCCCTCCTCCTCCCTCCTCCCTCCTCCTCCTCATCTCCTCTACTCCCTCCTCCCCCCTCCCTCCTCCTCCTCCCCCTCCTTCTCCTCCTCCTCCTCCTTCTCCTCCTCCACCCCTTCCTCTCCTCCTCCTCCTCCTCCCCTCCTCCTCCTCTACTCTCCTCCTCCGTCCTACTCCTCTTCCTCCTCCTCCTCTCCTCTCCTCCTCCTCTCCTCCTCCTCCTCTCCTCCTCCTCATCATCCTCCTCCTCCTCCTCCTCCCCGTCGCCCCCGGAGGTACAGTGTCCGCACCTTCCGGCCCGCCAGCGACGTCATAGCGGCGCTCCGCGACTCGGGCGAGCAGGTCACCGCGGAGAACACCGAGGCGTGGCTGGGCAGGCCGGTCAGGTACGTGTGGGGCGCCCCCGGGAGGCCGCCGGTGGCGGCCATTGAGGTTCCACTGGGGGAAAGAGGGTCGGATCGACTCGGCGGGAGGAGACGTCATGCTCCGCAGCGCCGTTTGGGGCCCTCTTGGGCCCCGAGTGTGGAGCCTTCAGCTCAAACGCAGCCTTGGCATCATGAATACCCTGCCCAGCCCTGCCGCCAAAAAACCACCTCGGCCCCAAGCATCCACCGTGGGGGAGGGAGGGGGGAAGAGGAAGTTGGGGAAGAGGGAGTAGGAGAAGACGGAGTATTGAAATTGGGCGGGCCCAGAATCAGGATAAGTCGCTCTGGAGCGTTCTGTCACTCTCTGCGAGCAGTCTGGCGCGCTCTGGAACGGCCGCGCCGCCTGATGCATCCTTCAGGTCCGCCAGATCTCGGAGATCTCCGATTTGTCCCGGTCCGATTTTGTCCCAGTCCGGGCTTCGTCTCAGGAGAAGAGGGAGGCAGGAGGGAAAGTGGAGGAGAAGGGAAGAGGCGGAAGGAGGGAGAGGGAAGGAGGAGAAGGGATGATCGGACGGGGGGTCGGAGGGAGGACGGATCAAAGTTTCTGAGCGTCTTCGCCAGCCTTTGGGGCCCCGAGAGACCTCCAAATGCCTCCGCACATCTCCAGAGACTTGCGGAGTTCTCTGGGAGGAGGGGCGGGGGGAGAGGGGATGGGAGGAAGGACCCTGGAGGATTTACGTCATTCTGGAGGACTTTGCTCCTCCATGCTGGGGGTTCCACCTTCTCCGAAGGCGATGCTCGACCTCCTGAATCGAGCCTCGTCGTCTCGGAGGTCGAGCCTCCATGGAAGACAAATGCTTGGATAATGGAGGTTGAGCCTTCTTTTCCTGCGAGGGTTCCGATCCAGGGCTGCACCTAAACGCTGTGTTGCTGGACTTCGGCTGTGTTTCGTTTCTCGTTCTGGCAGGGAGGCACAGGAAAACAGGCAGAGCAAAACGAAGAAGGAAACGAGCACAAAACGAAACACAACGTTTGAGTCCAGTCCAGCCCAGCCCAGTTCCGATCCTTGATGCGCCCCTCCCCCCCGACCGAGATCCGACCAGCGTCGGCGCAAGACAGGTGCCGGCTCCGGGGGGGCCGTCGGGGCCACGTCCTCGGGGTCGTGCGTGGCCGGCCTGGAGACCTCCCGCGTGCAGTCCACAGTCGAGAGGCGGCGTTTTGTGCGTGCGCGCGCCGTCCTCGGCCTCTCGGCGCCGCGCTCGGGCCCTCCGGAGCTCGGGTCCTGTGCTGGGCGCGAGAGCCGTTTGAGGTTTGAGCTGTCGAGTTTGAGTTTTGGAGTGTGAGGGCTCGGGAGTGTCGGTCGGAAGCTGGAGCATATTGCATTACCAGTGGCGGGCTGTTTTTCAGTCCCAGGACTCTTCGGGGGCGACGTCGGGGGTGTGGTGCACACTTTTTTTCCGGTTTTCCCAGGGACAATGAAACATAACAGACCAGGATCCCGTATGCACCAGGATTCGCTTCCTTGTGCGAGTTTCAGTGGGGAGCCCGAGAAAGTATCGGTGTATAGAGTTCGGCTCCTTCGTTGGGTGTGCTGTGCGTGAGAGCTATTCTAAGCTTGAGTTGTAGTCTTCCCAGGTATTGTCCACGTTTGTCGAAGACGCCTGCGGCGAATCACCGCCGCCCCCTGCCTTTTGGGATACGCCCACGAGGCCAAACGTTTGGGCAACATGTGGCCACGCTATTGGACCATGCGTTCCCCCAGCCGTTGTGGAAGCCCTTCGGGGAACACGTGGGGGAGAAAGAGGAGGACACGGAGGAGAGGGAGGAAACAGGATAATAATGAGAGGCAGGAGGAGGCCTCTTGGGAGCTTCTGGGGTCACTCTTGGGGCCTCCTGGGAGCTTCCTGGGAGCCTTTTGGAGGTCCTTGGCGGCCTCCTTGGGCCTCTTGGGGGCTTTTGCGGGCTTCTTGGGGGCCTGTTTGGCTGTCTTACGGCGTTCCTGGCCTGTCTGACGCCGTCGGAGGCCGTCTTGGATGCTTCTCTGAACCGACTTGGGGCCGTTTTGGGGCGCTTCAGGGCCGTCTTGGAGGCCGTCTTCAGCGTCTTCAGGGCCTCTTGGGTCGTCCTGGGGCCCTCTTGGGGCCGTCCTGGAGGCCTCGTGGGCCGTCGTGGCGCTATCTTCGAGGCTCCTTTTGCGATCTGGGGCGATCTTGGGGGCCTCTTGGGCCGTCTTGGGCCCTCGGAGAACCGAAAACTTGCAAAAACGAGAAACCTTCAAAAACTATGGGAAAATCCACGATTTTGGCCTCTGCGGCCGGAGGCCCTTTTGGAGGCCTTCTGGGCCGTCTTAGGCGCCTCTTGGGCGCTTCGGCTGCCTGGGACTCTTTTGGACCATCTTCGCGGTCATGGAGGTATCTTGAGGCCGTCTTGGAGGCAATCTTGGGGCCATCTTACTTGGAGGCATCATGACCAGTTGTCTCCTCTCTTCTTTGAAGGCCAAAAGAGCAGGTTCTCAAAGCCTGGCTTGACATCTTCTGGCAATTTCGGTGTGTACGAAGGAATCCCAGAATACGATATCTTTGCATTCAAGAGGTACGCGTGGTGTTTTCGCACAGTCGGAAACAGAGGTGTCGTTCGTGATAGCGTCGGCCTGCCCCGTGTGGTTGGTTGTGGCAGGTCCTGAAGAGGATAGCCAACCACACGCCGAAACGCTGGAGACGGACTGGACCAGGGGTGCCCGAAAGAGTGGGCATACTCAGTCCTAGACCAGAAAGGAGACCAAAGGAAATTGCGCAGTCATCTGCTTCTCGGCGACCCTGGCGCGGCACAGCCTTTGGCCGGGCGAGCCTGAGGCGGGTGTACAAATAATGCTTTGTATGTTGCACTAGCATGGATATGCTTGGCAAAAGACTTGACCACCTTGGAGGCATCATGACCACCTTGAAGCCATCTGAAGCGGAGAAACAAAGAGACAGGCAGCCGGCGCTTCGAAGACCCAGGGGGAGTCTCTAAAGAACCAAGACCTCGCAGAACGTCCAGCATGCTGGGCCCCCCTGTGGCAAGCAATGGCCGTGGGCCCAGCCCGCCACCGTGCTTGGGTTGTGGGCGAGAGGCCTCTTGGATGTTCGTTGGGATCTCGCGGGGTGCCTCTTGGGGGCTTCCTGGGGACAGATGTGAGGCCTCTGGGGCGCCCTCTTTCGGGACTCTTGGAGGTCTCTTGTGGCTTCTTGGGGTTTTTGGCAGCCTCGTTGGGCCTCTTGGGGTCTCCTGGGAGCCTCCGTCTTGGTCTCCCGTCTGGTCTCCATTCGGTTCCCCCGTCTGGGCTCCCTCTTGGAGCCGTCTTGGGGGACTCTTGTGCCGTCTTGGAGGCCTCTTTCCGGGGCTGTCTTGGGGCCCTCTTGGAGGCCTTTTGGGGTGTCTTGGGACGACCTTGGGGGCCTCAGGAGCTGTCTTGGAGCGTCGGGAAGCCGAAAAGGCGACAACGCCTAAGTCCTTCAAGCACCCAGGAGAATTCCATGATTTTTGTCTCTTGGGGTCCTCTTGGGGGGCCTCTTGGAGGCCTCGTGGGGCGTCTTGGAGGCGTTTTGGAACGTTTCGAGGCCGTCTTGGGCGTTTTGGCTCGTCTTGGGGCCCTCGTGGATACGAACAAGCTGTGCGGGAAGACGCGGGGAACCCCTGGGGCCACGCGGTCAGCCCCAGAAGATTCTTGAGAGTTTTGGGTCCCGGGCCCCTACACAATCCCCGTGATTCAGGGCTGAGGCTCCAGGGGATCCCACAAGGGACCTTGGTACACTCCAATTCGTGCCTCAAGGGCACGGTGGCAGATTACTGCTTATTTGTGGTCGCTAAAAGGCGCTAGTAGGTGCTGATAAACACTGATAGGCACCAGTAGGCGCTAATGGGCGCGAGTAGGGACAATGATAGACACTATTAGGCGCTAGTCGGGCCGAACCTGTCTTAAGATCACTCTCGCACGTAATGCACTTAATGACTGTCGGAGTATTCTTCGGGGTGAAGGGCCGGTCCTGAGGAGAGGGTCAGGACTTCCAGGACTCCGTGTTTAGAAGGTCAGTGCATCGGGCCGCTCCCGGCAGGTCCTGCCGGGAGCGGGAGTGACGAGGAGTCAGAAGAGGACCGCTGCCGATAGGTTCCCGCGCCCGTGCCGCCGATGCTGCAGCTCTCCTTCGTCGGCGTGGAGAACCTGACGATCACCTGCCAGGCCAACGTGCAGAGCGAGGGGGCGGCTTCGCCGGAGCCGCCGGAGGGCCTGAGCATGTGCCACCAGTGCTTCGTCCAGACCCCAGAGCGCCTGCAGAAGGATCCATGGGCGAACCAATACACCCAGCGGCTCGAACACAGGCGAGACGTTTTTGTCTGGTGGTGTGGGGCCGTCGGAGTCCTGCTTATGCCGATCGGCGCGGGCCGTCGCACCCCGTCCTCCCCCACCCCATGGCGTAGATCCTGGCTGTTTTTGGCGCCTGTTTCGAGCAGGTGGAATCCCCGCTCTGTAGGACGCACTGTTGCATGCAGTCGCGTTAAGCAGAGGTCCGGACTCCTCCTCCTCCCCCTCCTCCTCTCCTTCCTCCTTCCTCCTGCCTCCTTCCTCCTTCCTTCCTCCTTCCTCCTTCCTCCTTCCTCCTTCCTCCTTCCTCCTTCCTCCTTCCTCCTTCGTCCTTCCTCCTTCCTCCTTCCTCCTTCCTCCTCCTCCTTCCTCCTCCTAATCCTCCTCCTCCTCCTCCTCTTCCTCCTCCTCCTCCTCCTCCTCCTTCCTCTCCTTTACCTTTTCCTCCTCCTCCCCCTCCGACGCCCGCTCCCCCCTTCTCCTTCCTCGCCCGCTGTCAAGACGCCGAGCAAGAAAACGCTCGCAACTTGGGCTGCTGGGCCGTCAGGAAGCCACCCAGGACCGACGCGTGGGGGGGGATGAGGAGGAGGAGGAGGAGGAGGAGGAGGAGGAGGAGGAGGAGGAGGAGGAGGAGGAGGAGGAGGAGGAGGAGGAGGGGGAGGAGGAGGAGGAGGAGGACCTTTTGGACCTTTTGACTCAGCACAGAGGTCGTGCAGGAGAGGGGGAGGGAGGCCACCGACGGACCCGCAGAGCAACCACGCAGGGCATCCACCTACGGGAGAGGCCCCGACGGGCTGCAGAGCAGCTCCTTCGGCAGGGGGAGGGGGAGGAGGCACCGCACACTGTGCCGCCAGCCGCTCGGTCAAGGCGCGCTGGACGGCCGCAGGCACACCCTCGCGCCTCGGGTAGAGCCCTTGCCGAATCCTCGACAAGTTTTCGCGTCCCTTACGCGATGGCTCACACCTCGCGGCGAGCTGGCGCCCGTCAACCGTGGCGTACCGCCCACAGGTTGAGCAGAAAGTCATGAGATACCGATCCCAACGCTGCGGCGTGTGAGAAGGGTGGAGGGTCCTACCAGCAACGAGCTCCGCCCTCGCCCCTGCTACAATCTCTTCGCGATCAGGGAGGCCTCGGCAGGCTGTCGCCGCTACCCTCACGATCCTGCTCTGCGGCACCAGCAAGGGACAACGGCCACACTTCCATTTGGATCCGCACATGGAAAATGCGTGGGACGAATTCTGGATCGCCAAATTTACAGCCGAAGGCGCTGGCACTCGCTCGCGTCGCTGCCGCTCCCCGCTCCACGGGTCGGCGGCCGCGGCCAAGGAGGAGGAGGAGGAGGAGGAGGCGGAGGAGGAGGGGGAGGAGGAGGGGGAGGGGGAGGAGGAGGAGGAGGAGAAGGAGGAGAAGAGGAGGAGGAGGAAAATGAAAAGGAACAGGAAAAGGAAAAGGGACAGGAAAAGGAAAAGGAAAAGGATGATGATGATGATGATGA